GAGAGTGAATTGAAGACAAGTAAGACCAGGGTGAAGTTTGGGGACTTCGACGAGGTCAATGCTATGGTGGTCACACTTCCACTATTTTTCGAAGCTCAATCAGGTCAACCAAACTCCATGGATGGAGATGTTTTTGACGAAGTCGAGTCCATGGTTTAGATGGGAGAACAAAAGGAAATCGAGGTAATTCGGGGGACTCCGAAGGCAGAGGTAGCTCAACCTCAAATTGTGATGCCGAGTGCGGAGAAGAAAATGCCAGAGGAAGTGTGCTTTGAAATGCCCACCAAGAATATGTCTTCCCATCTTAAACCTTTATACGTAAGTGCTCTCTTTGATAGGGTTCCGGTGAGCAAAGTTCTAGTTGATACGGGAGCCATGGTGAATATCCTCCTATTGTATTAATAACTGACACAAATTAATGTGTAAACAACCAATTAAAAATACCCGCAAGTGCACGAATCTATTGAGGTATAGATTATGTAAGTACGGGGTCGATCCCACGAAGAACTGTCGGCTTCCTACAAGTTCTAATTTGAGTACGTAAAGAACACTTATTTAACACACCTCACATGCACAAAACAAATTGGAAACTAAAAATGGGTAAAGAAAGGTAAAAGAAAAGAAACAAAACAAGAAACCAAAGAAAAACACAAACAGCACTTTCTATCACCCTTTTATCACTACTGTATCACCTGTTTATCACCTGTGAACAGTGCATAAACAGTGGCTGGCAACCGATCGTGAACAGTGACGACCGGTCTTTTTTTGGTAGATTCGTTTTCTCTGTTTTTTAGTTTCAACCTCTGTTCAGTGTTTGGCCTATAACTTTCCAACCATAAATCCAAATTTCACGTTCTTTATACGGTTGGATTCAGCACACAAAAATGAAGAACACATCGCGGATCAAAATCCAAAACCAAGTACAAAAACTGACAAAAAGCAATGACAAAAACAATGTAAACACACAAACACAATTTGGAGGGGAGGTTTAGGTTTGGTTCAAGTGACCATAACAATTCAATCCTGGGTTATAAGGAGTCAAGTAACAAGTCTAATTCATATTCAAAGATTGATTCTAGCTAAAGTATGATTAGGCCATGGTGTCTGGTTCTAACCTTGTGTTCCTAATTCCCTAATTTGATCATCTGTTGTCTAACCTAAAATTAAGCATTAGAAACCCATTAAACATAGAAGAACAATTTAAACAACCAAGCATGTATCTAATCCCTGTTGTCGAATGTTCATACATACTCTTCCTATTCATAGTTCAATTTGAATCAAAGCATGGTGTCTACTCTTGATTCAAACCAAGATAGCTAACATACAAGTTCTAATGGTGATCAATCATTCAAACAAGCATATTAACTGATAAGCATAATGAATAATAACATGAATCATGAATCAAACTTGAAACTCCAAATTTCAAACTTATAAACCCAGAATATTCATGTTAGGTTACATCGAAGCCCTAGTTATGAATATAAGAAGTTACATTGAAACTAAGAAAATACAAGAAATTATTAAAATGAAAGAAACTAAGAACAAAGAGGAGAAAGAGAATTGCATCTTCAACCCCTTGGATCCTTGCCTCAAGGCTCCCCAAGGTTCTCTCCAATTGTTATGCCATTCTCCCCCCTCGTGCTCTCCAAAAACCTCCTCTCTTCCTCTTGCTCTCTAGCTCCCCAAGCTCTGTAAAGTTGTAGAATGAATCTAATCCAAATGGCTGCCTCCTTCTTTGCTCTCTTCTCCCCTCCTTTCCAGCTCATTCTTCAATATAAAACACATTCTTTTGCCAAAGCCTTTTGCCTAGTCAAGCTCTCTTTCTAACTCAAAACCTGATCTTTAGCTCCAAAGTGATCTACCAATTCAATTCCCACGTTCATAGGCTAATGAAAGATGCCTCTCATCATTCTTCATCCCTCTCTCTCCTCCTTTCCACCATGACACTTTAACCTTTGTCTCTTCCTTGTCCCCTTGCCATGATGTGTTTTTGTCTTCACAAATATGCTCTTTGTCTCAAAAAAATCCCACTTAATTAAAGCAATTCATTGTTATCAAATGGCATGGTAACAAGTAGAAATAAGATGACATCAAGTGGAGGTAAAACTGGCCCAAAACAGATTTTCAGAGCTGTGGTAACATGCTGGATCAGTTGGATAGGCTATACTTGTCCAATGGAGCTCAAATTTGGATATGTTGTAGTCAACATCCATTGGAACAAGTTTCATGAAGATCTTCACCTCATCCAAGCACCAGAGCATACTGATCCAAGGCCAAGAAGTTGACCTACGAAAATGAACAAAATCAGAATTTATAACCAATAATGCACTTTTATTTCATTTTCATTCTAACCAAGGTAAAATCTATGAAAACACAAAAAGAAAGTAAAAAGCTACAAAATGTCAAGAACTAACTCAAAATGTTAGGTGAATAACATGATAAATCATGTGTAAAAATGAACCGAAAACCTCCCAGCCTCGGTGATGAGGAAATTGAAGAAAAGTTCAGAAGAACTAATTCTAACTGAGACAATGGTCAGTGACTTTGTGGAAGACACCACAATATCAAAAGGAATCATTCCACTCCAAGTCAGAGTAGGGGAAAAGGTCAGGGCGACAGCTTTCTTTGTGGTGGAAACAACAACTCACTTTACCGCGTTGTTAGGTCGAGATTGGATCCACGTAAATATGTGTGTCCCTTCCTCTCTCCATCAGACTCTACAGTTCTGGCACGAGGATGGGAGCATGGAATTGGTTCAGGCTGACTCACGGCCTTTCATGGCTTCAGCCAACGCGGTGGAGGCCAGGTTTTACGAGGATAATCTTGGTCCTCTTTACTTTACAGGGTTAGATAGGAATGGTCGACCTACAGGAGTCTCGGCCCAAAAGTTGATAAACTTGGGGGCACACGATGCCCAAGCAGATGGGTAGCGCCCGACGATGGCTGATTTCTTCTCTCTCAATGAATGATACAACCACTAAGGAAGAAAAGAGAGCCGCGGTAGAAGACACTTTGAGACGGCTATATGGTTTTTGAGTCGAGAGAGCGGCTGAGCATGGGTCCACTGCTCATTTGGTGGAATTCCTCCACGAAGGCCCTGAGGATGATGCACTTGAAATCGAGGAAGTAGAGTTGGCACCAAGTGAGATGGATGATTCGAAGGCGGAAGTCCAAGACCCTTTGTTGGAAATCAACTTGGGGATGGAAGACAGTCATCGACCGATCTACATCAATGGTCTGATGGAGCCAGAACTTCGGGCCAAGATGGAAGAGCTTTTAAGAGAGTTCAAGGATTGCTTTGCTTGGGATTACACTGAGATGCCTGGGCTAAGTCGTGATTTGGTCGAGCACCGTCTGTCGACAACGGAGGAAGCCCTTCAAGCAGCCACCTCACCAAATGTCGGCGGAAGTAGAATTACAGGTCAAGGAAGAAATTGTAAAGCTTGTTAAAGCCAAATTTATTAGGCCAGCAAGATATGTGGAGTGACTTTCTAATATTGTACCTATAAAGAAGAAAACGAGAGCAATAAGAATTTGTGTTGATTTTCGTAACCTTAAACTCGCAACTCCCAAAGATGAATATCCCATGCCCATGGCGAACCTCTTAGTTGATGGGGTGGCCAAGCATGAAATTTTATCCTTCATGGACGGACATTCCGGCTATAATCAAATTTTCATAGCCGAAGAACATATTCACTAGATAGCTTTTAGATGTCCGGGTTCCATTGGAACCTTTGAATATGTCGTGATGCCTTTCAGCCTAAAGAATGTCGGAGCCACATATCAACGGGCAATGAATGCCATCTTCCACGACATAATCGGTCGAAAATTAGAAGTCTATATCGATGATGTGGTTGTGAAGTCGGAGTCGAGACCAGGTCATTTGAGTGACGTTCGGTTAGCCTTCGAGAGAATGCGAAAGCATCAATTGAAGATGAACCCAAAGAAATGTGCCTTTGGGGTTTCCGCCGGAAATTTCCTAGGATTTTTGGTACATCAAAGGGGGATCGAAATTGATAAAAATAAGGCTAAGGCCATCATTGATGCACCGCCCCCGAGAAACAAGAAAGAATTGCAAAGTTTGCTAGGCCAAATAAACTTCCTCCAGAGGTTTATAGTTAATTCTGTCGGGAAAGTCGAGCCTTTTTCATCTTTACTAAAACTCAAGGATGAGGAGAAATTTCAGTGGGAAGAAGTTCACCAAAAGGCATTTGATTCCATTAAAAAGTATTTGACCATGCCACCGGTGCTAATCCCGCCAAAGCGAGGCCGACCTCTGAAATTATATATTTCAGCCGCAGAGAATTCCATCGGAAGTCTTTTGGCCCAAGACAACGATGAGAAAAAGGAGCAAGCAGTGTACTACCTAAGCCGAATTCTAACAGCCACCAAGAGAAAGTATTCACCGGTGGAGAAACTTTGTTTGGCCTTATACTTAACCGCAACCAAGTTAAGGCACTATATGTTGCCTTCCGTGGTGCATATAATCGCCAAGACCGATTTGATCAAGTACATGCTCACTCGGCCAATTATTAGAGGGCGGATTGGAAAATGGACGATGACATTGGCATAATTCACCTTCCGATACGTACCTCAGCAGAAAGTAGGCCGATGGAAGGAGTTTTTTGGTCCTTCTTCTCTTGAGATGCATAGGCGTACCACCACCAAGCCACTTGATGGCTTGGATGGAAAGATCGTGTGAGTGTTTGCGCTTCAGAATTCTAATCAAACAATTGATCGGCCAAGCAAGAAACCTCCTCTTGGCCTAGGTTCTTTTTCTCCCTCGAGGTCAAGAATGATTGAGCTTTGTATGACTATTTTTAGGATTTTTGTGATAAGTGCATTGAGTGAAAATGCAGTAAACAAAATGACAGGAATGTAAATGCGATAATATATGACAGAAATGTGAATGCGATAAAATAGATTAAAGCGATAAAGACTTGAATTAAACTTGAATTTAAAGACAATTGAAATTAAATTGCAAGAAAGTGAACTTACACTAAGAGAAATGAAGAACTTGGATAATCTAAAGCGCTCGAAAGATAAAATTTTAAACTATGAATTGAAAAGTACAGGATAAAAAGATAGGTTTTGTGTGTTCAGTCGGAGGTCCTCTTCTCTTCTTCTGACGACCAATTTATAGAGCTTCCTTCAACTCACAGGATTTGACCATTAAATGTCCACAACTAATTCTGTCTTGAAAATCCTTCCAATATTAATGTCTTCCGGAGCTTTAGGCATGAACTGCCCATAATGTGCAATGAATCTTGGTAGGTTGACACTTAATCCTTCATGTCTTTAAACTCCGCCACTTGCAGGGAAACTTTTGCTGGAGCTTCTAAGCATACTTCTTGGATCGGGCTACTCTGGCATTCTTGAATTGGGGAACATTTTTACAACCGAGGATTTTTTATTTAACACGCATATATACATATGATAGTTTTTGGTTGGCCAAAATAATTCAAACCGTGGGTGGGTCTAATCATGACATATATAAATACTAAAGTAAAGCTTTAGCCATCCTTCCCGTCACTTTCTCCCCATCATATGCACATATTATATCCTTAGTTTTATATTGAAAAGGTTTGATCAAGTTGCAACCCCTCATTGTTTAGCAGCTTTTCTCATCTTTTGCAGAGAATTCCCACGCTCCTTTCAACAACTACATCCGCTCAACTCCAACTTCCCCATAGCCATCCTGTGCGTGAGCTCCTCCATAGCCAATTAATCCATCAACAAGTAACTCACTTTAACATGCCAAATTCTTTATCATATGAAAATTTAGACGGATAGCAATAGGCCAATTGATGGCCCTTGAATCATTTTCATATCTTAATGCATTTTTTCCTCTTATATATATAGCAATGGCCTGCATATATTTATTTATATATATGTAGATATGAACGCATGAGAAGAAACGTCTCTTACACTGACTATGTGAATTCTGCCAGGCCATGCAACCTCACCCACACTATCCCACTTTTGAGTTCCACCTTTGGATGGTGGATTTTTAACCACACTCAAACAAATGGCTACAAGTCTTCCCATCTTCGAATTCCACCACTTGCAACCTATATAAGATAAACTTTTCAGCCCAATTTGCTCCAGTTGCACCTTTGCATCCACCTTCCTATAATATATATACATATAAAGCAATAACTTGTCAGCCAACTTGCAAACCACCCAAAGGCTTATGATGGAGCTTATATATATAAACTTGGTGACATGCAAAATGGGCTGGAAAGTTCTTTATCTTTAAGAAGACTTAGGCCGCACATTTGCATTTGCTTTCTTATATATATATAAAAGCATACAATAGAATGAGGAAGGCTTTGAACAGACATTCCTTCGGCCGCACTCATTCATCTACCTTATCATAAAACATGAATGGAGGACTTAAAAGTTGGGAGCTTCAGCCGTACACTTTCTCCAACCTAAAGCCCCACTTGCATTTATACATATAATATAATTAGTTTTGGCCTTGCAAACCATTCAGCCACATGTATTCGGTCGTTCTTGCTGTCTAGCACTCTCAATGCAAGCTGAGCCGTTTTGCTCAACTCTCTCCACGGTTCTGAGGATACGCAAGAGTATCACTGGTTGGGGGTCGTCCATATTCAAGACATTGCCAAGGTACATCTTTTGCTATTTGAGACTTTTCTTGCTTCTGGTAGGTCCCTTTCAAGATTTCGATCTCAACTCATTCTCTTACAACACCCGGCCGAGATTTCCAACAACCCTGCCCGTGAACTCTTCCAATCCTGGCCGCAATCTTTTTGCAAGCTTTAAATTCGGTCGTGATTTTCAATAGCCCCAAGCATTGCCCCCCAATTTGTTTAGCTCAGAATTAAATCGAAACCCAAGACCTTTCAATTTCTGAAGTTCGAGACTTTCTAATTGGCTTGCATGTTATTAAATTTTGAAATTAAATTGGAGGGACTTTTGTTAAAAAATCTTAGGTATTACAAATACCCAAATGTTCTCTTTCATTTCCTCACCAAACATTCCCACCATAGCCATAGGTTTTTAGAAGTTTTCCCTCAAAACTCATATTCTCTTTATCTTCAAATTCATCATTTCACACACCAAATCCACCCGAATCAATGTCAAACTTGAAATTTGCAAGTTTCTAGGTATGTTGCACTAATTTTTTGTTGATTTTGGTATGATTTTGATGAATTTGTAGCTTTGAAAAGTGTAGACTTGAAACTTTGAGTGCATGGATAGTGCCATGATGTTCTTCGCGTTCTTGATTCGAATCTCACTTTCTTCACTATATTTTCCTTTGATTCGATTTTACTTCATGTTTGTAGGATGGAATCTATTCCAAATGATAGTGTTCAATTTTTTGAAGATATGAAAGTGGCCATGGACAAAGATTTGGTCAAGCTAGTATTTGCCTACTTCCTCAATGCTTTTCCCAACTCTGCTCAATATATTCTCGGCCTATCCAGAGGAGGTGGCGAAGGTGTGGGTGACACAACCAAGAAATGGCCTGATTTACTTCTCAGACTTTACATGGGCAACTTTTTGGGAGAGCTCCAAGCCATTCAAAGGTTGGCTAACGAGGACCCCTATCAAAATGGATTCCGATGAAGCTAAAGAAGCCTCATCAAAGAAAGCATCATCCGCCGTTGGGAAATCCGACCACTCGAGCTCGGCGGAAGGTAAATTTGATTGGTATTGTTGGTTCAAAATTTTAGAACCAAAACTGAAGGGCCATTAGAAGAAAATCAGAACATATGATACATTGCTCCTATGTGCGGGAAGAGCCTTTCCTTGCCACCGATCTCTTGTTATTGCAGCGCTATGCTTTTGGTCTTCATCCACCAATTGCATGAGGCTCCATTTTGGGATGATGACACCCAATTTGCTAGACTTGGCCGCCATTGCCGGCCTTCACCCTCATGGAGGTGATTTCTCGGCCGCCAACCTTCCGGAAGCCAAGGTGGGCTTAGATTTTCACAAGTCGGTCAAAACCTCCGGGAGTTGGGTGTCATGGCCATAGCGGAGAGCCCACCGACCCCCCTTCCATCAATGGCGTATCCTACACTGAGCATGTGGCTTTTCTTGTGATGTGGTTGTGCAAGTTCTTGACATGCCCAAAATCCGATGGAATTACTAAGGAATTCCAAGCCTTGGCGGAAGTACTTGTGGATGGCCATCAGGTGGCCATGGGCCCAATCTTTCTTGCCTATCTTTATAGAGGGCTTCGTGAGGTAATTGCTAAACCCATGGATTATCATGCTTCTGGCCCTATATGAATTTTTCAATTGTGGCTCCAGCTCTATTTTCCGGAACTAAGTCCTGCCACTGTTTGCCCCAACGATAAAGCTCTTCTGGGTCCACCCTTGCTCAACGCCCCACGCCGAAAGCATTATGTTGAGAATTGCTTTCGATTTTTCTATGAGTGTCAGGAGAGGACTAGGGAGCATCTCTCCATTTGCTTAGATTACCGTTTCCCGAATTATCTAGCCCTGGATCTTTCCTCATATCCTACGGCAAAGACAAAGGAGGAAAGGCATAATATGTGGGCGAGCAATCATCTCCATGAGGGCGAAGGCCGGCAATGGCGACCAAGTCTAGCAAATTGGGTGTCATCATCCCGAAACGGAGCCTCATGAAATTGGTGGATGAAGACCAAAAGCATAGCGCTGCAATAACAAGAGATCGATCGCAAGTAAAGGCTTTTCCCGCAAATAGAAGCAATGTATCATATATTCCGATTTTCTTCCAATGGCCCTTCAATTTTGGTTCTAAAATTTTGAACCAACGATACCAATCAAATTTACCTTCTGCCGAGCTCGAGGGGTCGGATTTCCCGACGGCAGATGATGCTTTCTTTGATGGGGCTTCTTTAGTTCCGGCGGAATCCATTTTGATGGAGGTCCCCGTTGGCCAACCTTTGAATGGCTTGGAGCTCTCCCAAAAAGTTGCCCATGTAAAGTCTAAAAAATAAGTTGGGCCATTTCTCGGCTGCGTCACCCACACCTTTGCCACCTCTTCCGGGTAGGCCAAGAAAAATGGGTCAAGAATATATTGGGCGGAGTTGGGAAAGGCATTGAGGAAGTAGGCAAATACTTGCTTGACCAAATCTTTGTCTATGGCCATTTTTATATCTTCAAAAAATTGGGCACTATCATTTGGAATAGAGTCCATCCTAAAAACATGAAGTAAAATCGAATCAAATGAAAATATAGTGAAGAAAGTGAGATTCAAATCAAGAACCCGAAGAACATCATGGCACTATCCATACATTCAAAGTTTCAAGTCTACACTTTTCAAAGCTACAAATTCATCAAAATCATACCAAAATCAACAAAAAATTAGTGCAACATACCTAGAAACTTGCAAATTTCAAGTTTGATGTTGATTCGGATGGATTTGGTGTGTGAAATGATGAATGTGAAGATAAAGAGGATATGGGTTTTGAGGGAAAACCTTCTATAAACCTATGGCTATGGTGGGAATGTTTGGTGAGGAAATGAAAGAGAACATTTGGGTATTTGTAATACCTAAGATTTTTTTAACAAAAGTCCCTCCAATTTAATTTCAAAATTTAATAACATGCAAGCCAATTAGAAAGTCTCAAACTTCATAAATTGAAAGGTCTTGGGTTTCGATTTGCTTACCTCTACACCAATTCTGAGCTAAACAAATCGGGGGGCAATGTTTGGGGCAGTTGAAAATCACGACCGAATTTAAAGCTTGCGAAAAGATTGCTGTCGGGATTGGAGGAGTTCACAGGCGGGGTTGTTGGAAATCTCGACCGGGTGTTGTAAGAGAATGAGTTGAGGCCGAAATCTTGAAAGGGACCTACCAAAAGCTAAGGAGTCTCAAAAAGCAAAAGATGTACCTTGGCAACGTCTTGAATATGGACGACCCCCAACCAGTGATACTCTTGGGTATGCTCAGAACCGTGGAGAAAGTGGAGAAAGTTGAGCAAAACAGCTCAGCTTGCATTGAGCGTGCTAGACAGCAGGAACGGCCGAATACATGTGGCTGAATGGTTTGTAAGGCCAAAACTAATTATATTATAGGCTTATTTACTGTAGAGCCCCCTAAAACTATGGTCAAATCTCAGTTTGCCCCCTGAAAGTTAAAATGGCCCACTTTACCTCATTGACCAATGTTTTGTGTCTCACTTTGCCCCCCACCGTTAAGTCTGTCAAAAAATCTGTTAAAAATACTGACGTGGCATCAATGTGACCCACAATTTTGATGAACTAAGTGCCATGTGTGCAAAAAAAATTTAAAAATAAAAAATTGTCTTTTAAAAAACTTAATTTAACTATTAAAAATAAAAAAATATCCCCAATTCTCGTCCTCTCTCTTCCTCTCTCTCATACCCAAAACCCAACCTCCTCCTTGAACCAAAACCATGGCACCCATCTTCTAACCCAAATCATCATCACCATTCTCCAACCCAAAACCCTACTGTGCACCATGATCACCCCTCTCTCTCTCTCTCTCTCTCTCTCTCTCTCTCTCTCTCTCTCTCTCTCTCTCTCTCTCTCTCTCTCTCTCTCTCTCTCTCTCTCTCTCTCTCTCTCTCTCTCTCTCTCTCTCTCTCTCTCTCTCTCTCTCTCTCTCTCTCTCTCTCTCTCTCTCTCTCTCTCTCTCTCTCTCTCTCTCTCTCTCTCTCTCTCTCTCTCTCTCTCTCTCTCTCTCTCTCTCTCTCTCTCTCTCTCTCTCTCTCTCTCTCTCTCTCTCTCTCGTGTTTTTTGATGAAGGCTTGCCAATCCTAGAGGATATGAAAACGGATGGAGGATTTGACTAATTTTGAGTGATTTTGAAAGTCTGATTATTAAACTCATTGATTTGAAAATCCAACACCCGCTCCTCCTCTTCCCACTACCCTGAGAAAGCAACCAACTCACCATCCCATCTCCCCATCCTCCACACCATTATTTCCCAAAACCCACATCGGATGTATTCTTAGCAACCAACACTAATTTAGGTCAAAATTTCACCAAAAAAGTTTAAAAGCTACCTAAAGAAACTGCAAATAACCCATAAACTCAACTTCAGTACAACCCAAAAACTCAAAACAAGAAAAGACCCACAATCGAAAATTGTTGATCGGCCCTAGAAACATTAAAAACTCTGAGCGGGGTCTGAAGGCTTGCAGGCCGCTGGGGTGGGGGAGATTGGGGTTACGGTGCTGGGGTTAGATTTGGCTGGAGGTGTCTTGGGGTGACGGTGGGACTGGGGTTTTAGGGGGTTGTCCGTATGTGGAGGATTTTAGTTTTAATTTCTTTTATTTTTATGTTTTATTTATTTTTAAACTTAAATAATATTTTATTAAGTTTCCATGTGTAAGTGGGCTCCACTTTGCCTATATGGCACTTAGTTCAGCAAAATTGTGGGTCCCATTGATGCCACATCAGTATTTTTAACAGATTTTTTGACAGACTTAACGGTGGGGGGCAAAGTGAGACGCAAAACATCGATCAAGGGGGTAAAGTGGGTCATTTTAACTTTCAGGGGGCAAACTGAGATTTGACCATAGTTTCAGAGAGTACTACAGTAAATAAGCCTATATTATATGTATAAATGCAAGTGGGGCTTTAGGTTGGAGAAAGTGTGCGGCTGAAGCTCCCAACTTTTAAGCCCTCCATTCATGTTTTATGATAAGGTAATATAATATAATATATATATATATATATGAATGAATGCATGAATGAACACGGCTAAAGCTTTGTTGGAATGATTTGGCTGGAGCCTTTTGTCCTATTATATATATATATATATATATATATATAATAGGTAGATGAATGAGCAAAGTATGGCTGGAATCTCTTGATTATCTGCCTATTCGGTTGAAAAGCTGCAGCTGAAGAAAATTGGACTGAAGGTTTTTGGAGTCCACCATATATATATAAATGTGCGGCCGAAGGAATGTCTGTTCAAAGCCTTCCTCATTCTATTGTATGCTTTTATATATATATAAGAAAGCAAATGCAAATGTGCGGCCTAAGTCTTCTTAAAGATAAAGAACTTTCCAGCCCATTTTGCATGTCACCAAGTTTATATATATAAGCTCCATCATAAGCCTTTGGGTGGTTTGCAAGTTGGCTGACAAGTTATTGCTTTATATGTATATATATTATAGGAAGGTGGATGCAAAGGTGCAACTGGAGCAAATTGGGCTGAAAAGTTTATCTTATATAGGTTGCAAGTGGTGGAATTCGAAGATGGGAAGACTTGTAGCCATTTGTTTGAGTGAGGGCTAAGAGGACTGGTTGAGTGGGGAACCCATGCGGTGGACACAGTTGGAAATAAACAAATATATACATATAGAATTCAAAGGCAAAGTTAAGGCCTTTGTGGACTAGCGGCCAGCACATAGCTCAAATGAGGATCAACCAACAATTATTGGAATATGCAGTTATCAATCATGCGGCCGACAACTTCCACGGATTCTCAACCAGGGCAAGAATTTCCAATATCAAAATATTTGGAGAACTCATCATGCGGCCGATATCCAAATATTTGGAGTTCACATACCACTTAAAGTTGGTGGGAGTCTTAACCAAGTCAGAAGCTCCAAGTGCACAACATCTCACCAAATGTCAAATCAAATCCAAAGCTCAGCCTACAAAGCTAAGTTCATAAGTTTCAGCAGAAGTTTCCCTGCAAGTGGCGGAGTTTAAAGACATGAAAGATTAAGTGTCAACCTACCAAGATTCATTGCACCTTATATCAAGGGGAGAGTTTTCACAATCCCAATGACATTTTGGGCAGTTCATGCCTAGAGCTCCGGAAGACATTAAAATTGGAAGGATTTTCAAGACAGAATTACTTGTGGACATTTAATGGCCAAATCCTGCGAGTTGAAGGAAGCTCTATAAATTGGTTGTCAGAAGAAGAGAAGAGGACCTCCGACTGAACACACAAAACCTATCTTTTTATCCTGTACTTTTCAATTCATAGTTTAAGATTTTATCTTTCGAGCGCATTAGATTATCCAAGTTCTTCATTTCTCCTAGTGTAAGCTCACTTTCTTGCAATTTAATTTCAGTTGTCTTTAAATTCAAGTTTAATTCAAGTCTTTATCGCTTTAATCTATTTTATCGCATTTACATTTCTGTCATCTATTTTATAGCATTTACATTCCTGTCATTTCGTTTACTGCATTTACATTCACTGCACTTATCACAAAAATCCTAAAAATAGTCATACAAAGCTCAATCATCCTTGATCTCGAGGGAGAAAAAGAACCTAGGCCAAGAGGAGGTTCCTTGCTTGGCCGATCAATTGTTTGATTAGAAGTCAGAAGCGCAAACACTCACACAATCTTTCCATCCAAGCCATCAAGTGGCTTGGTGGTGGCATGCCTACGCATCTCAAGAGAAGGACCAAAAAACTCCTTCCATCGGCCTACCCGGCCGAAAAGAGGAAAACATAATTTGGCACCAAAAAAACATTTTATAACAACAGCACTGATATTTACTTGAAGTGGTATGTTTTCTCTTTCCATTTTATTCATAATATACTTCACCTAATTATGCAATAATTCAGAACACTGTAGTTTGTACACAATGCGACTCTCAATGCGTTAGGGTAAGAGACTAAGCATCTACGGCAGCCATGAGTATCTAAATTCTAGGCAAAGTTGTAAACATGCACATACAAACAATATGTTTTATCACTATGACCATTAGTAAGCTCTTACTTAAGAACTTTCAACCTCGATGTTGCTTCTTAATATTTAGTTGAATTATCAACTCCCAAGTCAAAAGCATATCGCCTTTTACCAAATAAAATGGAAGAGGGAAGTTAAACTCATAAGCACACTATACAAGGGAGCCCTGCATGTTGGCTGTCCAGATTTAACAACGACCTCTCCATTTCCATTGAAAGTGGAGACGAGCCTATCCCAAATCAAAACCATTTCATCTCAATTTTTCAAAGACTTCATCCATTCACATGTCTTTAAAATGGAACCCATCTCTTACAAGGAAAACATGAAGCAAAACATCATTATGGTTGAAGCAAAATGAGCATTTGATATAGACAAGCCATCTAAAAAAGCAATCACCTGTTTAGCTGTTGGGCTCCTGCCCCAAGAAATGCGGACTACTTGTTGACCAATCATCTTTCCCTGCATCCTTTGGATAGCATCTTCAGCAGATGCCCTATATGGGAAGTGAAACAATAAAAATAAATAAAAAAGTAAAGTGACAGTTTTGCGTTCTTTGGGGAGGGGAGGGGAAGACAAAAGGCCTGAAAAAGACAAACCAAGCCCCTTTTACACTGAGACATTTTCTTTCCTATGTCCTTCATACTTATGCGGTTGTCTTTTGTTTAAGCAAAGGAGGAATGTGACAAGGGCTAATTAATAAGCCAACATTCTAATTCCATTTATCCATTAAATGCTGAAATACCTCGTCCCAAACTGTACAAAACCACATCCTTTGTCCACAGGAATCTTGACATAGAGAATCTCGCCAAACTGCATAAAAGTTTGCTTCAGTTCCTCCTCTGTGACATTAGGATCCAAGTTGCCAACAAAAATCTGCATCAAACTTAACCATATAGATAGAATAAAATCTTAGACACAAAACCCAAACACAGCTCTTCAAGAAAAAGAAAACAAATACAGTTAAGCATGTGAGACTTACTGTAGTGTTGTTCACATCATAATCTGCTGGAAGCACAGGAACTGCTGGTGTAGTGTATGCTGGAACAGGATATACTGCTGCCAGAAAAATCCACAGGTAAGTGCATCTTGGAGTGGATAACTAGACTTTGCAAGAGAACATGATCGAGATAATAGAATACTACATAAGCATAATAAATAAAGAAGAAAAGGAGCAAGTCTTCCTGTCCACAACTTGAAGTTATTTCTGTATCTGTTTACGAAATGGTATTACCTTTTGCTGCAGCATATTGCTGCTGAAAACCAGTGGTTTTCTTTGGTGTTGCTGCACTGATACGCATCTGCCTAGTTGAGCAATAAACACCATTCATTTCTGACATAGCACGGTTCCTTTCTGCCTCATCAGCAAACTTAACAAACCCATACCCCTTTGAGCGTCCAGTGTTTGGATCAGTCACAACCTTGGCACCTCTAACCGATGAATATTGAGCTCGAAAGGTTTCTTGCAGCATATAATCTGTAACATCAGGAGCCAAATCCCCTACGAAAATTGAGTGCTCAGGCCCAGCATCAGGACGCCTTTCTCCAATGCCAAAAGAAGCCCAATTTAACCTATATGGTTGTTCAGTTCCAGGCATTGGCATCCCATTGTAAGAATGCAGATTCTTTTCTGCTGCGGCATGAGAAACAAATTCCACAAACCCATAGCCCTCCAGCTGGCCAGTGATTTTATTACGTATTATCTTTATTGAAATGACCTGCATAAAGTAATCATCCAAAAGTAAATAATAGAATCTATTTTCATCACACTGCTAAAGAACTGCTTACTTTGTTCAAAATAAGACATCTGCAAAGATTCTTTTTTTATTATTTACATTTCAATGGGACACACTTTAATTAAAGCAAAGAAAGACTGATTACAAGTTACAACAAAAGATGAATGAGATGTCCATATATGCTGACAAGCCAAAAAGTTTAATTCTTTTTCAAAGTCCACTTCCTTCACCTTATCATCAAAGACTCTATTATTTCTTTCATCCAAACAAATCAAAAGAGAACCCAAAACTACACACCACCAAAGGTGATCCCCCTCTTATTTGCCCCAACAGTCAAATAAACCTCAACCAGCAAAGAATAAATTCTTCACCAAGCCCACATCATTCAAGCACTTGCAGCAACTTAATAATACACCAATGTGGGGATATACAAGTATAATGTCTTCTACTCGGAGCACACAAGTAGTAATAATTCATGAACCACAAACCAAAAAATATGTACTTTAGTAGCTATACCAGTCTTTCAAATCATTTTATATGGCTCTACAATGGGATCAACTGGTTTTTCTAATATAGAATGGGAAAGGAATTTGCAAGGAAAAACACCATGAATAAGTTAAAAACATTCGTCAGACCGAATTGGGATCATTCAGCTATTATTAAGCCACCACAATAGACCTGACAATTTTGAAAATTCTCTATTTAAAGTTCCTCCTAAATGTAAGTTCCAAGAAATAGCAGAGAAAGTGGGGAAGAAAAAAAAACAGTAAGTAGTAATTACTGCATTATAATTCACAGATAACTGAAATAAGTAAGAATTTAAAGATTGGAAAGATGAGTCAACATTCTAAATATCTTCCCAAATAAAGACCAATACAAGTAAAAACAAATGGAACTTACTTGCTCCAACTGGTTGTATTAGAGATAAAACAAGCATACAAAAGAGGACAGGACAATCAAACAAAACCCATATGTAAGGCAGGAATGCATTCAACACAAGTTAATCAGCTCGTCTATGTCATAGTTCACACAGTACTTCGGACCCAACACAAAGTAAAGATAGATCTAGTTTCCAGAGATTATGTGAAGGGTATGTCAACAATAAAGAAGAAGGTGCCAACTAGCATAGATATTGTCTTGGAATTATGAACTACAGATAGAATCTCACATTCATCAGGGTTTATACACATTTATATATACATATATGTTCTAAAAAGATTAAGCAGCCCTAAAAGAAATCAATTCCACGCAACCCCAAACAATGCAATACAACAAGCAAAATGCAAATCCCATTTTTATTCAAACTGAATTCTGATTATAAGCTCTAAATGGCCAGTCAGACCCTAATAGATATTTATATGGAGAGAGAGAGAGAGAGAGAGAGAGAGAGAGAGAGACCTCGCCGGTGTGAGCAAAGCAGCTATTGAGGTAGTTTTCGTCGACCCAATACTGTAAATCCCCAATCCAGAGGGTTCTGACCTCTTCAACTGAAGTCTGCTGATGATGAGGCTGGTACCCCTGAGACGACGTCGTGGAAGCTGCCATCATACTACTTGGCGGTTGAGGCTGAGCGCTCATCATTTTTTCTGTTTTTGAAACTCTGCTCACTTCCTTACTTTGCTCTCCTTTGTTTATCTGGTTAAATGTCACCCGGTAAAAATTTCTTAGTAAAATTTACCCATTTATAATTCTTACTAAAATAATACCTAGAAATACTTCTCATTGCCCTCTTATCACTTTCTCTTCTCTCTGGTCTTCTTCTGCGAAACCTCAGAGAAAATCCACCTCCACCGTCGACCTCATCTCGCCTAACCCTATCTCCTCTTAGCCATCTCTTCCAACTCACCGATGCTTTCAACCTCAAGGCTCAACCCCAAATTTGAAACCCTAGTGAGACCCTAGCTAAGCCGCCGCGACTCGCGACCTCCACAGCCAAGCCACGGTCGCAACCCGACCTCCATCGTCGATCTCTACGGTGGTGAGTTCTGATATTGGTTTTGTACTCTCTGTCTCTTATAAATTCGTTGCTCGCCCTTGCCTTATTATCGCTACATTAGGTACTCTATACTAAATCCACCCTTTTATTTTCGGGGATACATTTGGGGTTCAAATCTTTGAGAGTTCATGAGATACAATAATACATGGAGATTCTTTATTTTATCAATTGGCTGTGAAATTATAGAGACTATTTTGGTCCAAAATATATGTGCTCCAAAATATTTGAAAAAAATACTAAACAAAAAAGTGCAGAATAATCAAATCATGGTCATCATCTGAACATGACAGTATATAATTGTAGATATTGTCTTCTCGTCCTACATTTGGTTCATTGTCAAATTCATGTTAGAATGATTGATATCAACAGGATAATGGTTATTGTATAGAGAGAGAGAGAACCCACCTCCATTTTCCATCTTCCTTGCTAGTAGCACCTCAAGAGCCGCTTCCACCCACCTCTTCAAAATTCAACTCTACACTTTTTGATAAAATTTTAAGAAAAAAGAAACTTTGAAATTTCCCTTCGTCTTTCTTTTTTTTTTCTGGTGGAGAATCTAAACTTGGGCAAAAACACAGATGCCACTGGCTATGTTTAGAAAACCAAGAACAGTGTCTTTGCTCAATACCAGGTGGGTGATATTTCATTTACAGAAGGGACACTGCCTCTGTTATTCAAAGTACGTTGGTAACTGTGATCATCTGCCAAAAATTTATTTTGGACACAAAATTAGCCAAAAGTTTATTTTGGACACAAAATCATTTATTTTGTTGCCTTGGTTTTAAGCACTTGAACACCTTTGTTAAACTTGTGCACCTAAACCATACCCCATTCAGACCCCCAAAAAAAAAACCATAACCCATCCTTGGTCCTCACTCTTTACATTTTTTTGGGCCACTTTCCCCTGTTTGCGTTGGAGCTCTTTCATCACTTATAAGGCACTCAATGCTAATTCATATTAGGGTTTTGATAATTCTGCCATATTGTTTTTGTTTTCTAATAAGCAGAGATTTTAGACCATTTAATGTATCGGATATGTGAGGACCATTTTAGTTTAAGCTACATACTTCATTTATAATTGTTTCGTACTGAATTTGGTGGTGATTGCTTGATATGCGTGAAGGATTTGCTTCTAATTTGTTTCTAATAAGCAGTTTATTATCTATTTTATTATCTAATTTCCATATGTATAATTTTGTTGTGCAGGGATGTGAAGAATGGGTTCGAATGTGATGCTCATGATTGCAGAGAAGAACAAGTTTCAAGGAAAGGCATTATCCCTGTCATACACAAAGAACGCCATTACTGCAATTAAAGAGAAGTTCAGTTCAGAGCAGTTGGAAAGGTTTAAGATGAGTTGTTTTGGTCATTTACTACTGATTGAGGACTTAAAGTGGGCTCCACAAATTGTCCATGGGTTGCTGCTGAGGAAGGTTGATCCGAAGACAGTTAAGACCGTGAAAGGTATTACATTCTTGGTTGGTAATAAGTTGATTCAATTCACAAAACAACAGTTTTGCCTCATCACGGGGCTAAGGTTTGGAAAGCTCCCATTTATTCGGAATCCTACTAATGAGAATTGCGCATTGAAGAACAAATACTTTCAGAAGAATAAAACTGTGAGTCTTTCGGAACTCGAAAAGGCATTCAAGGCTTGCACTGACGAGGAGGATGTAGTGAAGCTTGGTTTTGTGTATTTTGTTGTATTTGTATTGTTGGGTACAGAGAAACATGTTAACATGAACATGAGGTATTTGAAGTTGGCAGAAGATCTTGATGCATTTGAGAAGTATCCTTGGGGTGCTGTGTCATATGCAAAGACGCATGAGTCACTTGTGAGGGCACTTTGTGCAGATTACCAGCGAGTTAAAGTACCCAAAAGAACTCAAAAGAAAGCAAAGACAACAATGACATGTGATAGGATTAGAGAGTACCACATTAAAGGGTTTGGATTTGCATTTCAGGTAAGCAAAAATCCATTAATGTTTAACTTAATTTTGATTGTTTACATTGATGTGCATAATTGATGGTTCATTGTTGAAAATAGATATGGGCATTTGAAGTGTTCCCAGCTTTGACTGAGCTGCAATATGTTGTGCACGAAGAAAATGCGCTCCGCCCACGCATCTTACATTGGAGGAGCAATAATTTGGCTCGTTATAATGAGCTAATGTCTCATGTATACGAAAACATTGAGGTTAGTTATGTTAGTAATGGTTATGTTATGCATACCTTTGATTAATTTACAATTGTATTGAAAAGTTTATTTTGTGTTTCAATTGCAGGTTGACGTGAAGTTCGTCCGTCCCACTGAACTTGAGAAGCAAGAAGCTTATTGGATTTGGGATGACAGTGAAGAGGATGAAGAAAATGTTGAAAAGTATGACGATACGAAGTCCCTTGGTTATGGTGGTGACGATAGGGACGGTGATGGTGAGGGTGCTGATGATGGGCAAGAAAATACAACCATCGACATAGAAGAAGATGGCCAGGATATATCTTGCCTTCCATCGTCATTGAAGGTATATGAGCAAAACCTTTTTGCAATATATAGACAATAATAAACTTAATGCTGGTGATATGTTGTTAATATATAGGGAATACAATATCAATAAAGTCACAATTGTGGTGTTATATATTACATTAATTTAAAACAGTTGCATTATATCTTGATGCAGGGCCATAGTAAACTCTCTTTGACTGACTTTCATGGTTTGAATAATCAGTTACAAAGTACAAAGGATGAGTTGCAAAAGGTACATAAGGAAAATCAGGTGCTTAAGAAGAAAGTGTTTGACTTGGAAGAGAGGGTAGAGAGTGAGTCTTTGAAAAATAAGAAGGCTATTGAGGGTTTTAGCAAGAAGGCTGCTTCGATGGAACAACATTTTATGATGGAAATGGCGGAGTTGAAAAAAGCATCTGGTTTGTTGAATTGACGTGCTGAAGGTCCATGAAGAATCATGGGTTACTCATGCATGAAAATCAGTTCTGATGTTTGCTTTCAATCCAACTTTTATAAACTGAAACAACGGAAGTTATAAGTAAAAGGGTTCGCGAACGATTCCCCTTGATAAAATTTCGAAACACTAGAGATTAATGAAATAGGTAACAGAAAGGGAAAAACTAGAGATTAATGAAATAGGTAACAGAAAGGGAAAAGGAAAAAACTCTTAAAAGGAAAAGAAAAGAACTATTAAAATAATTAAAATAACTAAATGCTGTTGTGAAGCCTCCTAATGTCCTCTTCTAGCCCTATGTCAGTCTCCCCTTCTTGGAAAGAACTTGTCCCCGAGTTATCATCTGGATACAGTAGCTCATCATCCAAATGAAACTCAAACAAGTCAGCGACATTGAAAGTGTGAGAAATCCCCATAGAAGATGGTAAGTCCACGGCATATGCATTATCGTTAGGCTTATGTAGGATTTTATAGGGACCATACTTGCGAGTTTTGAGCTTATTGTAAGTACCCACAGGAAATCTCTCCCTTCGCAAAAACGCCATGACAGCATCACTGACCTGAAACACCTTAGAGCGTCTATGCTTGTTTGCCGTAGCCTTGTACTTTGCATTAGTTTGCTCTAAGCGCTCTCGGACTTCATCTTTAACGGCTTGAACTTTCTCTGCCATGTGTTCAACGACTACACTCACACTAGGACCCCTAGGAAGCTTCACGAGGTCCACCATATGCTTTGGAACAGCAGTATAAACCAAAGAAAATGGGGATTTACCGATTGCACTATGTATGGCATTGTTGTACGCAAATTCAATCTGCGGAAGGGCTAAGTCCCATTGTTTGAGTTTATCACTACAAATATTGCGAACCTTGTTGCCTAGAGTTTGATTGGTAATCTCAGTTTGTCCATCCGATTGTGAATGTGTGGTACTACTACGATTCAAGGAAGTGCCAAACAGTTTCCATAAGGTGATCTAGAAGTGGCTAAGGAACTTCGAGTCGTGGTCAGAAATAATGGACTTAGGCACCCCATGAAGGCGCACAACTTCACGGAAAAAAAGTTGAGCAATATAGATAGCGTCGAAGGTTTTCCGGCATGCGATAAAGTGGGTCATCTTTGAGTATCTATCTACCACCACCAAAAACAGAATCGACACCACGCTTGGTGTGGGGTAGTCCCAACACAAAATCCATAAAAAGGTCAAGCCAGATATCTTCAGGAACAAATAGAGGCAAATAGAGGCCAGTGTTTTAAGACTGGCCTTTGGAGGTTTGGCAAACTTAACACCTGTGGACGATATTGCTAGCATCTTTCTTAAGTTGTGGCCAATAGTAGCGTGCAACAAGACTCATGATCTCTTTAGCACGACCTAAATGTCCACTCAATCCACCTCCGTGCAAATCTCGAATGAGCTTTTCATGCAAGGAACATCGGGGAATGCACAAAGCGTTGCCACGAAATAGGAAGCCATCGGTAACATGGAAATTTGAAACATATTGGTTCCGAAACAAGTGGCCCAAATCTCCTTGAAGTCAGTATCATCTTCGTATAATTCTGCCAGAAACTCAAACCCAACAATTTCTTGGTTTAACGTCACCATGAGTTGTGCTCGTCGGCTCAATGCATCTACCACCCGATTCATGGTTCCAGACTTGTGTTGGATGACGAAAGGAAATTTCTACAGGAAAATCACCCATTGCATGTACATTTTGTCAACTCTTTTGACTGTTAACCCATTTTAAAGCTTGATGATCAGTGTGAAGAACAAATTCCTTCATCACAAGGTAGTGCTCCCATTGTTGCAAGACACGGACGATAGCATAAAACTCTTGAGCATGAGTGCTCCATTTTCAACGGGCTTCGATGAGCTTCTCACTAAAAAATGCAACTGGCCTCTTACCCAAGGGGACAACGCTAAGACCCACACCACTCGCATCACACTCCACTTCAAAAACTGTGTCGAAGTTTGGTAAAGCTAAGACTGGTGCAGTACTCAATTTTTCCTTGATCAAGGCAAAACTGCTCTCTTGTGTCTCACCCTACTAAAAATTGCCCTTCTTCAAACATTCAATCATGGGTGCTACAATGGTACTGAAATTCCGCACGAACCGGCGATAGAAAGTTGCTAACCCATGAAAGCTACGTAATTTGGAAACGTTTTTTGTTGCAGGCCAGTCACGGATGGCTTTCACCTTATTATCGTCAACAAGAATACCTTCGGAGCTCACAACATAGTCAAGAAAAATTAAGTTGTTGGTGAAAAAATTACACTTCTTGAGATTAGGGAAGAGTTTATTATTCTACAACACTTCCAGCACCATCCTCAATTGCTCCAAATGCTCGGATTTTGATTTACTATAAATGAGAATATCATCACAGTAAACAACAACAAAGGAATCGAATAGAACCTTATTCATGAGCCGCATAAATGTGCTAGGTGCATTGGATAGCCCGAATGGCATGACCAGTCACTCATACAATCTATCATTGCTTTTGAATGCTGTTTTCCATTCATCCCCAGGCTTAATCTGAATCTGGTGATAACCGCTTTGCAAATCGAGCTTGGAGAAAATTTTCGCTCTGTACAACTCATCTAACATGTCGTCCAAACGAGGAATAGTCAAACGATACTTGATGGTTATCTTATTGATGGCCTTGCTATCTACACACATCCTCCATGTCTTGTCCTTTTTCAAAATAAGAAGAACGGGTACAGCACATGGGCTAAGGCTTTCTCGAATAAACCCCTTCTATAGAAGTTCTTCATTTTTCTCTCTTAGGATCTCATTCTCATTTGGGCTCATCCGATAGTGGGGTAAATTAGGCAAACTGGCTCCAGGGATGAGGTCAATCTGATGCTGAATGTTCCACATGGGAGGTAGAACATCTGGCAGCTCCTCCAAAATCAATTCATCGAAATCCTGTAGTATTGTTTGCACTTGTGGGGGAATCTATAGCATTGGGGACTTCGCTTCAGCCGCTAGTAATCCCTTCATGACAACAACTCAAATTTGCTTGGTTTCTTTAGCTTCTGCTGCAACTTCCCGTTCTGAATTAATCATAGTGATTAATTTCGAGCTTGCTTTTGTTGTTTCTGAACCCGAAGTCCTGCCCTTGGGGGACATAGTGATCAAATACGCTCCCCATGTAAATTTGTAGACATTGTCCCGTCCTCGATGCGTAACGTCTCTATCCCACATCCAAGGCCTGCCCAAAACTACATGTGTGACGTCCATGTCGACTACATCACAAACTTTTTCGTCCTTGTAATATTTTCCGATGGAGATGGGAACTTTACAAGTTTCAAACACCTTCTCACTCGGTCCCTTTTTAATCCATCCCACTAGGTATGGGTGTGGATGCTTTTTAATGGGCAACTAAAAGTGGTCCACTAATTTCCGATTTTCAAAGTTCTCACAGCTTCCTCCATCCAATACTAATTGACATACATTGTCATTAACAGTACACTTGGAGCGGAAAATCTGATGCCTTTGATTGTCGTCACTAGGCTTGGAATATAGGACTCACTGCAGTACCAAGGCCAGTTCCTCACCTTCCTCCTCCGCATCTTCTTCATCTATCACACCATCTTCGATATCCTCGAGTTCTCCTTGTACCAAATTTAATGGTTTGCGACCTCGACAAGCGCCAGTGTGGTGTTCGTTGCTGTTGCACTTGAAACACTTGTCACCCTGAAACTTGGCATACGGATTGTTGGCGTTGTTCTGGCCACGATGAGGGTTTTGAAAACGATTGGAGGTTCGAGTGGTGGTTTCTGTTGATTTATCCGTTGCTTTGGTATTATATTGTTGCCCCCAGTCTCTACCTTTGCTTGAGTTGCCCATATTGGATGGGTCTCCTTAATTTCTTCAGTAGCTAGTGGACTGATTACTCCGAGTTTTCTCCAGTAATATGGCAGCTATGGCTAACTCTTCAGCCTCCACAGGGGGATTTACTCTTTGCAGACCTATTCGATCTCGAATATTAGCCTTTAACCCATGAAGATAACGCGTTGTTTGTTGCGCTTGTGATTCAGCTAATCGGTTCTAGCAGCAAGGTTGAAAAACTCATGGGAATACTTCTGAATGGTGCGGCTTTCTTGTACACAACCGTGGTTCTTTTCAAACATCACCTGTTCATAATTGCGAGGTAGGAAATGTTCCTGCAACATGCTCTACATCTTGCGCCAAGACTGCAAAGGTCGTTTTCCTTGTCTTAGGCGTGCAGCTTGCTGCTCATCCCACCAGACAGTGGCACTCCCCTTCAACTTCCAAGCCACGACCTTCACTTGTCGAGCCTCTGCGATTTCAGCACAAGCAAAGAATTTCTTACATTCAGAAAGCCAATAGAGGAAGTCTTTGATTGACGAAGTACCACTGAAAATAGGAATCTCTATTTTCTTAGTTTCCTCCCGGAAATTATCATGTTGGGTAGGGATTTCTTCTTCATCTTCTGAATTTCAATCATTGTTATTAGGGGGAGGACGATTCCTATGAACTGCTCGATCTCCTCTAGCCACAAGTTATCGATCATTATGGTTTACTCCTGTTGGGGTCTTTTTCCGTCAAAAGGCTTGGATGGGCTACCGGAAGTGAGGTGCATCAAGCCTTTGTGTGCCCCATTCCTGAGTAAGCAAGAACTAGGCCCACAACAATCCGAAAGAGGGTGGATCTTAGGGAGTGCTTTGTTTGGACTCCTCGTTGGCTCCTTGAGTTGGAAATTTAAATGATATTCAATTCTTGAGACAAAAATTACAAAAAGGGCTTGGCATGAGAGGCATGAGGTGTGGGAGATAAAGACCCACAAGTTTAGGAAATGAGAAGTCATGTGTTTCCCTTGGTGTTGGCTATACTTGAGCTTGGGAAGAAGGCTTTTATGAGATTTTAATGGTTAATGAAGCTTTGACTATGGTGATGGAATTCATAGCTTGAGAATTTAAAGGGCTATGGTGTTTATGGGTATGATTCTAAAAGAAGTTTATAAGTTCCAAAGGAAGGAGGATGGAGTAAAGGCTTGGGGTTTTAGTT